CCTTTTTTTTTTCCTTTTTTTTCTTTTTTTTTTTTTTTTTTTTTGACTGAAGAACTGTGGATGCAGTTTGCGTAATATCTTTATTACCGAGAACTTCAAGGTAAGTGGGCAATAGGAACCAGATGTGGGGCCGGGAGGAAGGCAGGGCGAGGGCGAGGGGACGTGCGAGGGGCAGCGAGAGGTACCCGGGGGAGGGGGCATCGCTTTGGCTGCTGGGGGGGGGGGGGGGGGGGCGGAAGGTGCGCACTGATTTATTTGTAAGCCCCTTTTGGGCCGCCATTGACCTCTCGGAGCAGTAAGGCCCCTTCCAGACTCCACTCCTTTGCAAGTTCACGTCTGACCGTCCCAAAGCCTATTCTGTGCTCTCGGAGGCCCCGTTGCAGCCCCTCCCTGCCCCCCGCTTCCCCCCCCCCCCCCCCCCCAAGTTAGTTACACCTGGAGAGAGCGCGGATGTCCGGAGGTAAAAAACCACGGCTGGGTACCCGCTGCCAGGAGACGGAAAGGCTCCAGGAGAGCATGGAAGGGGTTAAAGGGGCTGGAGGAGGCCCAGAGGCCCGCGGGGACCTGCTGTAAGGAGCCCAAGGGGGTAGGGGGGGGGCGTGGGTTAGGGTTGGGGGTTCCTCAGCTGCCCGCTCGGCCCAGGGTAGGAACAAATGGAGCGTGGCAGCAGCGCGAAGCCCCGCGCATCCCCGTGCCTGTCCCGAACCGCGTTAATGCCATGTGCTCATCTGCTTCGTTTTCTATTTTTTAAATATAAATAGCTTTATTTTTTCTAATGAGAAAGATACGACCCCCACCCCCCTCTGCCTCCACACCCCCATTCGCATCCACGCACACCCCTACCCGGGCCCCCTCCCCTCCACTGTCATCATCTCCATATTAATTGGGGGAGAGGTCTCTTTTTTTTTTTTTTTTTTCCTCCTTTTTTTTTTTTTTTTTTTTTTTTTCCTGTGCGTGGGGGGGAAAGCGACGAGAAGAGCCTCTTTGGGCGGCGGAGAGTTCGGAGGGAGAGAGAGTGTGGGAGAGAGGGAGGGATAGAGGGAGGCAGAGACCCTCTGAGATCGGATCGGGGCCGGGCGGCTGCGGCTGAGCCCTCTTACAGCTCCCGGCCCCGCTGTGGGTGTGCGCGTATGCGGGAGGGGGAGAAAGAGAGGCTCCTGGTGCCCCTCCAAGCGCATTAAGGACACTCGGGCCTTTTAATTTTAGGAATGAATGCTGATACTTGTGTTTCTTATTGTGATCCGGCTGCCATGGATTCCTACTACAACGCAGCCTCCCAGGGCGCAGACGGCTCCTCGCCTTTTAGGGCATTTCAAGCGAGTGACAAGTTCGGCCCCGCTTTCCTGGCCGCCAAAGGACAGAGCTTCGGTGACAGCGGCGCGAAGTGCCGGAGCCGCTACAGCCCGCAGGAATGCCCGTCCCTGGACGGCAGCGGGCAGGCGCCGGGCCCCGCCGCGCCCCCGCCCGCCTTTAGCAAATACCCGCAGCCCCAGCAGCAGCCGCCGCACCTCTATATGCAGCGCGGCCCCTGCAAGACCCCACCGGAGAGCAATCTCAAGCTGCAGGAGAGCGGCAGCCACAACGGAGCCTTGCAGGTCTCCTGTTACGGTGAGTGCGGGCCGCGCGATGGGGCCGGGCCGAAGAAGGGCTCCCGGGGCCGGGGGGGCTCCGGGGGCGGCCGCGGCGACCCCTCGCCTCGTTTTGCCGTGGTTTTGCGGCGAGCGCAGGGGCGGGAAGAGGCAGAGGCTCGAGGAAATTCTGGTAAATGGAAGAGAAAAGCAGTGCGGAGAGCTGCTCCTTGCCGAATGCCACCGAGGGATGGCTGCGCTGGGACAGAATGTGGGGCGAATGTCTCCGCGCTCTGCCCACGCCGCCGCCCCGTCCCTCTCCCCCCACGCTGCTGCCCGACGCGCCGTGAGCCGGCCGGAGCCCTGGGGCTGCTCCTCGCGCTTGTCCCGAGGGCTCTCCGGAGAGGGCGAGCTGTGCCCGGGAGGTAGGGGAGCGGAAAAATACGAAAGAAAAAAATAGGAATAAAATGAAATCAAATCCGCGACCCTCTATTTTTTCAGAAGAAGGGAAGGTGGAAATGAACTTCTCCCCTGGTCTCTCGGTGCGCTGCGGGCAGAGCGGGGCTGCGGTGCCCCTGTCCAGGTGCGCCCGCCGTGACCCTGCAGGGCAGGCACAGGGACGGTGACACGGACAGACCCTGTCGGGTGCGCTGGGAGCACAGGGAGGGCAGCGGGGAGAGGTGGGGGAACGGTAGTATTGAGAGGAATTCAGAGATTCCAGCTCCCGCTTTCCCGTCTCCCGCCGCCACATCAACGGCGGCGTCTGTACCCTCTTTGCTTTCTCTTTCTCCCCCACGCACCTTCCTTTCCCTCTGTGCAGGTGTACGAGCGCGCAGACGGACCTCCCCGGCCCCATTCACCCTGAGTAAAGCTGAAGGGATCCCCGCATCCCTCGCCCCATGGCCCCGGGCACAGCTCCCCTCTCAGCTGCTCCCCCGTTATTTACCCTGCGCCAAGACCCGCTCCCCGGTGCCAGCCGGGGCCGCTCCCGTCACCCCATTTTGGGGCTGCACGCCTTCCCGTGGGAATGGGCCGAGACCGGCGGGTGGCCATTCCTCATCCGCGGAGGGGCAAAGCGGGGCGCGGGGGAAGGCCGGTGCCTCCCCGCCACTAACCGGCTCTCTTGTTTCCGTAGGCTGAAAAAGCCCCGGGCACCAGCTCAGCTCGCGAGGGCGTTTTGCAGCCCAGGGCAGAGCAGCCCGAATCTGCCCCCGCCGTCACACTAGCGGGCGGCCCCGATACGTCTCTAAGGGGATTTCGGATGGAGCCCCGGGTCGGGAGCTGATGGCCCGGCGCGGCCCCGAGCGCAGTGCGGTGCGATCGGGATCGGTGGGGCTGTAATAGGAGCCACATGGCTCCTCGAGGATAATTAACAGCAACACTAATAACGAGGGCTAACGATTTAGGAGGGCGTCTCGTTAATAGTAGCCGCGTTCGGCTTCCTCGGAGCGAAAGCAGCGATGGCGGCAGCGGGCTGAGCTCCGCCGGGCGCGCACCGCGCCGGGACCCTCGGGGCGGAGGCGGAGGCGGCCGCTCTGCTCCCGCGGATCGCAGAGGACGTCGGAGCGGCGGCGGTTCGCTAGGGATGGCCGGGATAGGCCGAGGCCCCGCGGCTGCTCCGGCGCTTGTCCGGCTCTCCGAGCCGCCCACTGGGGCTCGGTTCTCTATTAAAATAACTCCACTCAAAATAAAATAAAATAAATATATATATGTACGCATATATATAATAACACAGCGAGAAAAGCACGAGGCCGTGGAAAACGGAGCCTCTCCCCGGCGGTGCTCTCAGCCTGCTCCTCCCAGCAATTGTACTTGTTGTACTCGTTGGCCGATGCCCATTCGAGCCTCTCAAACCAGCCGGGGGATTTCTTCTTTAATTTTAATTCCTTAATAAACACGTTCCGAGCTATAAAAAGCCCCCGCCTGCCCTTTATAGCTCCCGGCGTCTATTTCCAGATCGAATCCCTTCCATTGCATTGTACGGATAAATATAGGCAGGGAGGGCAGCGGCCGCACATCGGCGCAGGAAGCGAGCGGCGGTTCTCGGGGTGCTCCGCGGGGCTCCCCCCGCTGCGGACGGCCGCTCTCGGCTCCAGCTGGCACCGCCCTAACGGGGGGCTGCGGGTCGGCCTGCGGAGCGGCACTGGCAATTAAAGAGAAATCTTCAATAAAGCCCCGGAGCGGGACACATATCGCGGTTCTCAGATGATTGATGCGCCGCGGTGATTGAGCTGCTATTTCTACAGTGCGGGACCGGAGTTGTGTGTCCTGAACTTATGTGCGTCTATACCCGTACACGGCAACGCGTGCGGAAGTACGGGCTGGAAAAAAAGCTTCGGGCGGTGGAATATGATGGGAATATGATGGGGACGTGTACCCGCGGGAGGCAGAGAGAGGAAACGGCCTTCTTCGTGCTGAGGAAATCTGTAAGTGCGGGGTTAAGCACATAACGAGCATTTCTTGTCTTTAGAGAGCGGCAAAAAGCGCAGTCTGGAACGCGTTGTTGTTAGCAGAAAGCGAGTGCCGTAGGAATTATTTGTCCGCTGCGCACTTTATTACTGTTGCTATTATTTTAATTGACACTTCTAATGTTTTTCTCCTCCACTCCTCCCCCCGGTGCACACGGCAGGCCCCCCGCCTCCGGGACACGTCGTGCCCGGTGCCCGCCTCCGCTACCGCGGTGGCACCGCTCTCCCGGTGCTCCCTTCGCCGGCCCCAAGCGGGGCGATGCCGCGCCCCCGCCCCGAGCCTGGTTCCGTCGGACCACCGCCCGCTCCGGTGCGCGCAGGGCGTACGGTACCGCGGGGTTCGGGGTGCGCCGCCGCCCCCGTCCCGGCTTCTGCCCCGCGGCCGAAGGGAGGCGGGCGGGGAGAGGGGGAGCTGCCCGCACCCCGGGGGCCGGGAGGGGTGGGGAGGTGCTGCCCCGGCCCCCCGCTATAAAGGGATGCCGTCGGGACGCGCGGCGCGGCGCCAGCGGAGCGGGGACGGAGGAAGGAGGACGGAACCCCGGGGAGGAGAAGGGCGAGCGGCCGCGCCGGCGCTCTCCTCCCCGCAATAGGATCAACAAATCCGCCGCTCAGGGAGAGGAGGGAGCTCCCGCCGGGAGTCAGGCCGAGGCGCTCGGCGGTGCGGGGTCTCCTCCGCGGGAGCTGCGGGACCCCCTCGGCCAGCGGCACGCCAAGGTAGGGCCCCGCTCGTCTATCGCCCTCGGAAGGACTCGGTCACCGCTGCGGCGCGCTTCGCGTGGCTCGGTCAGAGAGCTGGCTGTGGAGACCTCGGTAAAGATCCCGGCCCGGGTTGTTTATACCGCTCGTGCGTCAGCGGAGAGGAGCTCCCCCCGGGAAGGTCTGTTTTCACGGGAGCGCTGTTTGTTTTCCATTTGTCCGCTGCCGAGCGGGTTTAGCTCCGCTTTGGCCCCGCGCTGCTGCTGCGCACGGTTGTAACCTTACCGGAGACGGGACGGGTGCGGAGAGAGAGAAAAAAAGACTTCGACTAGTCCTTGTCTGAATTGTTTTGAAACAAGACGGGAAAAATACCGATGGGGAGAGAGATTTGGAGATGCTTACTGCGTGCGTCTTTTCCTAAGGTTTTGATGTGTTATTAACAATATATGCTGATGCCAGATAGCGCAAAGGAGCTGCTTGTGTGTTATCTGGGGCTGCAGGCTGTTTATTTTGTGCTCCCTTTGAGTGCGCTCTTGGTGCGGTTGCATGACTAACCGGCTGCAGTGATTCACTGGCTGCTTTCTGGGTGATTGCTCCAAACAAGTTGTGAATCAAGAGAGTTCCCTGGCTGTGGTTTCTAACCTCCCAAGTCAAAACCCGGAGCGGGTTTAAGGGGAGCTGATGAGCAGTCTTCAGTCCTTCAGATCTTGAAGATTTATCCCCCTTCCAAGCCCTGTATTCAGAATCGTGATGAGTTTCCCTTGTAAGAGAGGTGGTGTCTGGGAGGCTCGCAGCCAAGCTCTGCGCTGGAGGACATCTCCAGCCACAGCCCTTCAGCCCAGCTGAATCTGTTCAGAGTCTTTCAGCAGCTGTATAATTCTCAGGTAAGAAGCACGGTGCGCTTTGGGCAGCAAGTAACTTCTCATCCCATTTTTCAGCTGGAAGAACTGAGGTTCAGGATGCACGAACAGCTCGTGCAAGGCCAGGCTGCCACCACGCAGTGGCATCAGTGCAGTCTTCCTCAGGCCCAGCTCCAGCAGCAGGACTTTCCCGCAGCTGGGGAAGGATTGGTGGAGTTACTGCGAAAACTCAGCAGGAAGAGGTCCCTGGGTTTGATTTTGGAGGGGGTGAGCTTGGCTTTCCTGAGCCAGGCCCTTGTCTGGTGCAAGCAGTTGTAGCAGTCGGTGTGTTCTCATGTGTCTGGGTGCCTCAGCACAGAGCAGAAGCTCAGCCTGCCAACCTACATGAATGGGCTCAGCTTGGGCAGCTCAACAAGCGATGGGTTGGTCACTGCTTTTCAGAAAAAGCTGAGAAATCCCTGCCCCAAGAGCAATGTGTTTCTAAGGCATTTCTCCTATGCCCCTGGAGGGGGAACAAAAAAAAAAAAAAAAGGAAAAAAAAAAGAAAAGAGAAGAAATTCTGATGTAACTATTAATCCGTTTGGAAATTAAAGGTCTTACATATTTTGGAGGCATAGTGATATGCCTCCAAAAGGAAAAGAGGCAACTCAAGATGAGGAGAAGACTGAGCTGTGACACAGCTCATAGAGGATGCTGTGATTTGAGAATCATTTACAGAGGGGTGGATAGGAAGAGTTCATATGAATAAAATGTAATTTACAGTTTATTTACAGTTGACAAATTCACAGCTGTTTTGTGTCTGTCTGCTACCCCAGCTTCTCAAGTAAAAGTTCTTAAGTAAAAGAGGAAAGCTAACATATATGAAATGGACAACCTCCTCTTTATTTTCTGCGTGAGTTCAGGCAGATCAGCATTATTACACACACTGACTCTGCTGGGCTGTGCTTTTGTTCGTGCTCACACACAGCCTTTGCATTTTGACTGTCACTGCTACAGGTACAGTGTGAAAGAGAACT